AGGACTGGTTTGAACAATGTGTTAGTCAACACTCTGAACAGCAGCAATGTTTTAGCTGTAAGTGTTCTGCTGTTGTATATGTTCTTGAACAGCTTAGTCATATTCATATTGCATATCAATAAAATAACCATTAAGTTCTGGTAAACACCCTTTCATTTAGTTTCAGATTACATTGTATTTTTTTTTTTTTTTGAATGGCTCTCGCAAAACTGCTGTGAAATACACTGTATATTGTTTGCATAGTTCAAATAAAATTGAATGTGTAATTTGTAAATGTACTGCTACTGTGTATTACATATGAGATATGAATACATATATTTATTTCATGTTAACAGTAGAACAGAAGATTTTTGTATTTTTATATGCTGCAATCGGCCAACTTTTTCCATGAGTTTAATCGTCTTTGTGCCTTTGCAGTTCACCGTGTAGATAGCCTGTGTGATTAAAAACATGCCATGTAGTGATTTATTTAATTGATTATGAAAGGTGCATGCATTATAATTATAAAAGAATTTGGAAAATGCTAATGTTTGCTAATATTCCTTTTAATCAATATTAAGTCTAATATTAATTAATTAATTGAAATGAAAATGAATTCATATTAAAACTATATGAAAAATAATTGTAAAAGAATAAGAAAATTAAGCAAATATTTCATATAGTCTTTTAATGAAATATTCTAACTAACATAAAATAAAATGCATGCATGCATACTAATTATAAGAATTAAAAAAAAATGAATTAAACTTTTATTTAAATCATAAAACAATATGAAAATAATTGTGAAAGAATTAGAAAAAATGCAATTTAAGCAAACATTTAATGTAGTCATTTAAATAATATTTTAAGTCTAATATTAATTAATTAATTGAAATGAAAATGAATTCATATTAAAACTATATGAAAAATAATTGTAAAAGAATAAGAAAATTAAGCAAATATTTCATATAGTCTTTTAATGAAATATTCTAACTAACATAAAATAAAATGCATGCATGCATACTAATTATAAGAATAAAAAAAAAATATGAATCAAACTTTTATTTAAATCATAAAACAATATGAAAATAATTGTGAAAGAATTAGAAAAAATGCAATTTAAGCAAACATTTAATGTAGTCATTTAATTAAATAATATTTCAACCAAAATGCGATCATAAAAATAGCATGCATGCTAATTATAAAGAATTCTGATTCTGTCTTTTAATTAGACTTTAATATTAAGTCATAAAACTATATGGAAAATAAGTATAAAAGAATTAGAAAAAATTCATTTAAACAAATACTTCATTTAAATTAAATAATATTTTAACTAACGTGATAAATACTGCGTACATATACCAATTATAAAAATGATAAAAAGACAGATTTTTGCTAATGATACAAAGTCGTTTAACTAGACATTTATTTAATATTAAGTCATAAAACTATAAGAAAAATAGCTGTGAAAGATTTAGAAAAATGCATTTGAACTATTTAATTAATTGATATTTAAGTAATATTTTTATTTTTTATTTAGTCATTTAGCAGACGCTTTTATCCAAAGCGACTTACAAATGAGGACAATTAATATTAATAATAATAATAGTTAATTAATATATCAGCAAATATACGATCATAAAAATCGATTAACTTTTAGATGAATTTAGCATATTATATGATCTACCTATAATTAAATTATGTTTCTTCTGCTTTCTCTAAAATAATCTCCACCCATGTGTCAATCAAACTGCACACGTGACGTCAAGCCCTCGGAGCCCGGAACTTCTTTTCTGACGTATCCGGGGGGCCAAAGGTCATAGAACATTCGCCTGCCACATACGCCTCTGTCGCACTTGTTTGTTTTTGTCCAAAAAAAAAGAAACAACCTTCGGAAACAGGTGAGTACGACAGCTGCAACTTGATATTTGTGCATTTAGTCGCTCTTTCGAGTGCAATAACGGCAGAAAAGTAAGGCCACGGGAAAGATAAACCCGGAATGGGTCGAGTTAATGCTGAGGGTGTCAGTCCGTAAGTCAAATTAGATCTTTGACAGGGCACTTTTGAATTTAAAAAGCATGTATTGTTTTAAAAGTACATTCGCACCCTGTTTAGCAAGCAATAAAACATGCTTTGCTAGGTTTAAAGTTGCCGTGCAGCTCCCTCAGGCAAGCTACTGACAGAACTAACGTTAGCATGCTAATCAGCTTGATAAAAAGTTTCACAGGTTAGCCGTGCGCTAACTTGACTTGGACACTCAAAATTATCTCTTTTTTTGTAGCATCATCTCAGATGCCATCCCTGTAGCATTAGATATGTCGAAATGGCTCGTTTAAGTTGCTCTACAGGTGGGTGCGAGCATTTCGTTGGCTAACGGTTCTAATTAGCGTAACTTATGTGTCATTGGAGGGAACATGAGTGCAATTATTACAGCTCTGATTATTTAACGGTTGCCATGACTACCAGACTGTCAAGATTATTTAATATGAATATGATCGGAAATGTGTTTTTAGATATTTTAGAGCTTTGAGAGGCTGGTTTGGTGGCTGTTTAGCTGCTCATTGTTAGCACGTTATGTGGCTTGACCTCTTCATACTTGCACCTCTGATAAAGGAGTTACTGCATTTATTTGACACTTCTGTATATATATATATATATATATATATATATATATATATGCACATGTACGTGAGTGTTTCATTCAGATTGGGGTGTAGACTAGAGTTGGGGATAGTAAGGGTTTAAGCTAGGGATGCACCGATAGGATTTTTTTGGCCGATACCGATTTTAACACACAACTATGGGCCGATACCGATATTGGTCAATTGCATAAAACAGAAACGAAAAAAATATCGATCGGTTAACTCCAAGCAGAATTGGTATTTGAACGTTTCTGTTCCTGCGTTCCTCTGTATTATTACATTCCGAAATCGGTTTAAGTAGAAAAAATACTGGTTAATAACATTATTTTTAAAACTTTTTCTTTGCCTATAATAATAATAATAAAGTACAGCGTTTTCTTTACTCAAAAAGAAAAAAAAAACACGAGGGTCTTGATCTGGTAGCCTATCTTGCGCGTAGTCATAGCCAATACAGCATCATCTTTTCTAGATTTTGACCAAATGTATTAAACAAAAGAAAATACTGTCAACGCTTTAAAGACATTAAAGTAGGCCTTTTTTTTCCAAGATATTTAAAAATGTTTGCAGCATGGATAAAAACGCTACTCCTATAAGCGTTTTGAGAGGAAAAAACAGCCTAAATTAGTCAAATTAATTTTATTATTAATATATTATTGTTATTTTATTATTATCATTCAGAAATAATGTAGGCTAAAACACCGGTAAATAAAGCAAAATATTTACAAACATTACAAACACAATTAGGCTATTTAAGTTCCCTTCTCTCCACAACAAATCCTCTAAAGTTGTAAGCCAAAACGAATTTATTTAAAAGCAAAACTGAAGCCTACCTCTCTCATTCTTGTACAGGCCTATATATTCCTTTTTATGTAGCCTATATAGTTTTATTCCATTTTCTCTGTTCACAGAAACGCTGCAGGTGCGTGACGTGAACTTGTGTGAATCCGTGTTCTACACGATCCCGCCATTTATGCTGGTTTCAAACACACAAAAAGCTGCATATTACCTGCCATTCATTTTCACTTAAATGTAGGCTAATGCTTAATTGGCGGTTCGTGACATATCCTCAGAAAAACTAACTCCGGGGCATTGCCACTTAATCGGCCCTTTTCATGCTATTTCCGATATGCCGATGGCTTTAAAATAATAAAAATCGTCCGATACATCGGTGCATCCCTAGTTTAAGCCTCTGTAGTCAGATAAGAGTGTATGAATCTCTGTCTTAGCATTGACGCATAGCTGGTCAGCTGAGCCTTCTTAAGTGGCGCTCAAAGTTAGAATGGTTTCAACAGCGTGTTTCATTATGTCTCTTTGAATTAATGAATCAGCGTTTTTGAACGTGTAGTTGAATGACAGTCACGTTCCACCACCTTGTGGTGCAACACTGTAACTGCACTGCCTGACAGCCCGTCTAGAACACGTGCAGGTGTAAATATCAATAGAAAGTTTCTTGTCTAGTCAGATTAGAAAATCAGATTACAACTAGGCTAACTGTTATACATATAGGCTAACAATAGCCTAACGATCTTATTGTCAGGTTTATGTTGTGTTAAGTGGACCGTTATTTTGTCATTCTCTTCTGTTTACTTCACTTCCTGTTTCAACGCTATTTGGTTTCGGTTTCATTGTCTTCTGAATATGACCTCGTTAGTTATATCATAACCCATACACACACAAATTATATGTATATGTATATATATATATATATATATATATATATATGTGTGTGTGT